CTTTTTAAATTTTAGTTTTTTAAGTTATACAGAGTCTAGTAGACACCATTCACGCGTAAAAATTTTAAAACATAACAGATCTGTTTATTTAAACTAGCAATATTATATTCTCATACTAATGCTTAAACCATAAGTATTGAAATTGATAAAAACAAATTGTATTTATTTTGTTTGAAGTTACGTATAGAATATTATATTGAAATGTGCTCTTTCTATTACAGTTAGGAACAACGGACAGTGTGATGGGACTACCTAAAGCTCTCGTTCAGAAACTTATAAAGGAGTCCCTCTAGATTTTCCTCTGATTAATTTTGGATTATTCAGTTGACTTTAGCCTGTTTTATCTACTGGAATAAAATCAACTTATTTGAAGTTGGTGAATCAATCTAGATAACATGTTGCATTATGTCTGTTGCTTAAAGTATTATTATCTTCTTTGTTTGAATCAGTCGCATTAATGCACTTCCAAATGACAATGAAAGCAGTTGCGGTTGACCATAAGATACGGCAAAGATGGATGGCAATGCAATGGATCCTAATTGTTGCATAATAGGAGGCCAGAAGTAGATGCAAGAGTTCAATTTATTTATTTTTTTTGTAAAGATAAAATTTATCAAGACGAGAAAACCCATAATTCCCTAACTAAATGATCATTGTACAGAGGAATTAATCATTGTGATTAACTAAATAATAATGAGAATATCAAGTTAAATCAATACCCCAAACAACATGAATGATTGGTTTACTTCATTGTAATCTGATTATGCTTTTACAATAAAATTTTGCTTTAAAAGTAGTTAGATAATTAAATTCACGCCTATAATGTATTTTCTAAATAAATATAAAACATGGAAGTTGCAGGCATTGCTATGTTTAGCATAGATCCACCAAAGACATGATTCCTCTTGGAAATGATACTTCACTTTCTACTTTATTATTTGAATGACTAGTATACTTGTGAGTGGAATGTATGTCACATTAGGTTTTTGGTGTTGTTGTTGAAGAATTATTGGTGAATATATCTTAAAATTTTTAACAATGCCATAACTTTGTGAAATATCTTTAATAGTTTTTTAATTTTTATTTAAGATACATTGTAAATTCTCTTCTTTTCAATAACCTCTTTTGGAAGAGATGGTGCTGACTAACTACCAATGGCCAAATGTAGATCTTATAACCACTCTTTTAACACAAGTCTCAGCAATGACAAGTAAGATATTAGCCATGAAAACTAAATAAGCTTTTTCAAACAAGAATTCAATGATAAAGATCAGTACATCGTATATAAGTGAAGAGGATGATCCACTTGTAAATAAAAAAAATCTTCCACTATAGGGTCAACAATGGGCAACCAAATGCACTAATTCATTATCATTTAACTCCTTAGATGATTGGAACTTTTTTCGTGCAAACACATGGGGTAAACTTACCCTTTATTGCTATATAATTCATGCATAACTGAAAAAAGTCATCAGTGGAGGACATGAATTACCCTTAAAGAGACAATCATCTAAGAATACCAAAAAGATACTGAGAAAAATTAGAAGGAGCTTTGCGAGACATTATCTTGACTAGTAGGAAGACACTTGAACATCCCAAACTGCAAGA